TCATTATCATTTTGGTGTCAACATTTTCAAGAAATTTACCACAAAAATGCTTTTTTTCAACTCGGCCGAAAGTGTGCTACACCAATAGTTGCATGGTAAACTTTTTGTTCATTTGCTTAAATATTGACTAGGAAATCTCAGTATTTGCCACTCTTTTTAAATGGTCTTGAGGGGTCGGTTGAAATTCAGCTAAATGATTCACCTAAAAGGTCAATTTCCCATTTACTGTCAGTTAAATTTTGGCTTACGCCTTGGATATAAGCATTACCAGTATTTTGTAATTCTGTTTAGATATTGATTGTATCATTTTTTGAAGATTTTTTTCAGAATTTTGAAAATTTTCTCAAGAAACAAATCGATTCTAAGTTTAGACAGACGGACACCTCAAACTTCTGCCTGCTGAATTTTACTTTAAAGTAATGCTTTATGTGGAAATGACATTTAAGTGATGACGATGACACAGCTAGCCGCCATTTTGAAGGTACAAATTTAGCGCTATTTCGTTCTGCCCAATGGTTTTACAGCAGTGGCGTCAAACACAGATCCTACGAACTGTTTGTCGCTCTACTCATTCAATTCTTTTAAATGTGTCTATGAAGGCAATAACTATTCGAATCGTTTACATTTTGTGTTAGCAAATGTCGTCTACAAGGACCATTCAACTTAACAACAAAGTCCGTAAATTTTAATGCGTTTAGTGAGACCAGTTGCCATGAATTCGACGTTCGTTGTTGTGCAAATCTTTGTTTTTTCCATATGCTCGAACGGTTGGGCTATTTTATGGCCTGTAAATAAAAAAACACCATTTTTTGCTTGTGCTCACAGGTCAAAATCAAAACCATTTTCGATTGGTTTAGATAGAGCTTGGACGGTTTAAAAAGCCAAATTTCTTAATACAGACCAAGGCAATGATGTCAATCATGACGGTCTCACGAGACACCCCCTGTGCATTTTACAATGAAAATTTTCCAATTCCACCGAGACTGATAACATATATCTGGTTTTTCTATAATTGGTTTAGTATCACATTTCAAATTATCTCGTGCTACGCCATGGAATAAATGACAAGAATCGTCCTTTTTAAACAAAGCCTTTTAATCAACCTCCTGGTTAGGTTGACTCATGATCAAATCAAATTTTGCGCATTTTTAATGGTCAACATTTTTGATAATATCTTTGTGGGGGCGTTAGGTTCTATTTGGCCAGCAAAAATGGTTGACATAAAAATAGAACCACTCATCCATAATAATATTAGCATATCTAAGGAATAAAACTATCATTATGCAACTCATATTCTCAGTATAAGAAGGCAGTAGATTACTTGGTCTATGATATTGTGACATAAGTCCGTGTCCTACAACTGTCATTCCACACAATTCCAGTGACTACCTTAATGCCATATGGGACTGTCGTTTGCAATTTTTACTTTTGTTTTAAACGCTAGCTTTGACATTGACGCAACATTTGAATCAACACGAAATTAAACACTGATGATTCAGGTCTTAAAGTATTGTAAACTCTTGGCCACCAAATCTGTCTATCACTGTGACTCAGACTGATATAATTACTTATCCCCTTACCTCCACAGTAGAGGATTGTGGTTAATCTCTACACGACGTAGCTATATTATGCTGGGAGCTGTTTAAAAATTAACTAATAAACCAATTGTTAGACATTGCTCATTGGTTGTGGTCGACCATCAGGTGGGACATGAAAAGCCCACTTTATCTGCACTCCTAAAAACCGGTTTGATGGTGTTTAATGCAATCTGGATTAAATATTGCTTGCGAAACAGCCAGTTTTTGCGGAGTCAGTTTAAGTGTGTTGCAATTTATATTTGTGAATTTAGTAATATTTTAAAAGGTGATATCACCAGCATCGAATCTGCCTAATAAATAGCTTTCGAATTACAATACAAATCTACCTTTCTATCGAAAACACCTTGCCTACATTAAGAATATTTTACAGGCCCCCAAGCGTAGTTTTCTTGCTGGAATAGGTAGATGCAGGTGGCAAATTTCACAATGCTAGAGAACAAATTTTCATCGTAATTTGTAGTGATTGCTCTGTTTTTCGCTAACCAAATAACGCAAAGCCTTGGGATGGTACAACTGCCACTATAAAAAGGAGACGGCGCCACAGGTGGTTTTGGCAGTGCCACCTACCCGGTCTATTCGCCGGTCTGGTCTACGTCTCTTGGATTTCTGCAATTGTGCACATATTTTTTTGTTAAAAATGAACATTACTTGAAGCCAAATATGCCTGTGTGATCATAAGCAGTGCAAGCTTATCATTGTTTAGTGTCATAAATTGCCATAATTAAACCCTAATGCGTGCGTGTATGTGAAAATTACAGCATGCGTAGACCTACTCTGGTAGAAATGAAACAACTGATTGGGATTTGAGAATTATTTATTGTGGACTTCTGTCAACTCCAGTGACGTCTTAGTCACTATCAGGTGACGGAATATATTACTTTTGAGTTATCGCCCACAATAAGCTGATTGCTGATTTTGGCACAAACCTAGAGTATAATTTTTTTATGACGCCTTGAAATATTCCCGCAATTTCGGTTTGACACTTAACCTCTCAGGAATTACAAATTATATGGTCTATGACCTATTTATTGCAGATTTGTTTCCTTGAGTTTAAAATTATGTTTAAAATGGGAATATTTTTGCGGTACTTAGTGGTTTTGAATGGATCAGACGCAAGGTATCATAACACCGAACGTCGAGTTTACGTGACTTACGTAGCCTCGCATAATCGCAGAGTCTACGATCGCACTGATTAATAGCACATTCACCAATGTTTTTTAAATGAATTTCAAGAAAAAAGTGCTTCTGAAGAACGGGAATCAATTCACAGCGTTTTGTTACTAACGTCGGGCTCTCCGAAACATGTGATTTGTTCCACAAACGTCTTAGAATTGGTGATTTCGATCGTAATGACCAGCCGTGTCACCGACAGCAGCCTTGAAAGTTTGAAGTAACGGAATTGTAATCTCAGTTGGATGAAAACTCAACGTAAACCCAACAAGAGCTGGCAGTTCAGTTGGGAATCACCCAGACAGCTATGCCTAAGCATTTGCACTTCAAAGTAAAAAAATACCTTTCATTGCCTGATCAGCAACACAAAAGGACTTCATGTGGCAAATTGTGACGAGTGACGGAAAGTGCATTCTTTGGGAGAATTTCAAACCTAAAATGTCGTGGGTAGATCCTGGGCAACCTACTACATCGACGCCGAAGCAGGAAATCGCTTAAAGAAGGTTCTCCTGTCCATCAGATGCACTTAATTATGAAACCCTAGAAACTGGCCAGACGGTGTCTGCAAAACGCTCCAGCTGACAGTTGAACAGACTGAGCGACGAACGTGATCTGAAAAGGCCATTTACTGGGCAAGGAAGCGAGCTAGTCGTACTGCTGCATGCCAACGCTCAATCTCACTCAGAAGACCCAATTAAACCTGTTATGGGGAGTTCTCCCACACGTGACACATTCACCAGACTTGGCCCCATCCGACTATTGGTTGCTCCAGGCAATGCAGCAGCACGCCTTAGTGGACACACATTTCAAAAAACCTAGAAGATGTGCGTTAATTCGTCAATGACTTTCTTGCCTCGTTACCTGAGAGATGGCACAAGGTCGCAGAAAACGATAAACAGTATTTCCGTACTTAATTTTGTTGTTCTCTATCTTTTCACACCAAATGAATTTGCTGAAAATCGGCAAAAATGAAATCACACACACCTAACACACTTCGTTCTCTCGTGTTTTTTACAGTTATGGTAAAAGAACCAGAAGACATCTACTTGAGTTTTGTGAGGCGTGTTTTGATTGGTGGGCAGCAGCGTCGGCTTGGGCATTGAGGTCTCTACTATCAAGGTCACCGACGCTGGGATATTGGTAATGACTATTGGATTATTACTTTGTCCTACACAAGGCTAAAAAGAAACAACACAATGCATTACCACAAGAACCCACGAATTTCAATGATGCAGTATGGTTAAACCTCGAAAATTTCTTCTAACATATAGGGCTTATAAAAGTGTGTGTTTAAACAAATTCAACCTCCAGTGTGACAAACACAAGGGACATGAAGTGTTCGTTACACATAATTTTGCCTTAAAAATCTGTCACAACCTAACAGAAATCGATAAATCGGTAAGCAAAATAGAGACTGATTTGTATGAGTGAAATCTATAAGTGAGGTTATCGAGACAAGCCATGGATAAAAACAACAGTTTTCTGAGACTCCGAGGACATTAAACAAAAAAATCTTGAATGCTGCCAATGAAAGTTTGATAAAAAACCACAGACTAAGAAATGATCCAAATTAAGTGTGGGCTTCGAGGCAATGAATGTGGTCAGCCCTAAATCGGTAAGCGCAGCACGAAAATAAGTGCAGAGTGGGCCACAAGATTATCCGGCCAAAGACCCACCGCAGCAAACAGAAAAAATAATCCAAGTTGTGCACTGCCAGGAACAGGAAAGAAGTCACCTACCTCAGAAATATTCTCCCTATCATCAAGAATTACTTGATTTGACACACCATCATCTAAATAAGGTTTTGTGTGACTAGATTTACGCCCTATATGCACACCAGCACTTTTGAAATGCTTAATTCAACTAAACGGAAGTAATTGCGTAGGGAAATCAGAAAAATTAGACTACAGTTCGCACCAGAAGACCTCAATGTCACCTAACACCATTCAAGAATGTCTCCCACGCACACACACACACACACGTGTTTAGAGGCAAGAAAAAGAGGAGCACTGGCATTTGCGTGTCACTTTCGCCACCACAAACTTTCACAGTGGCGCCTCATTTGAACGGCCGATCATACGCGGTACGTGGTGTGTTAGTTTGTTGAACCAATCAGGGGTAGGATTATACTTGGATGGGCTTGCGCTATTCGAATCGGTGTTTGTAAGCGCGCGCACGCGCATCCACACAAAGCGACATGGAGTAAGGGTAGCCGAAGAAAGACCATTGTGAATGAATTTTCCTGCTTATCTGAATGCCTCTCAAGGGATTCGACCCTGGCCGATCGGTTGTATTCAAGGACGACACTGGTACAAATTCCTCATCTCGAGCATTTCCGTCCTGGCTGGAGGTGTCACAGCCGTCCTCGTGGCGAGGCTAATGCTCTGGATTGCCTTCAAAATCCGCCTGCCCAGATCTCACGAGGAACACCCAACTTGGCGGGGTAGGAAGGCCAAGAAGAGAAATCTTGCTCAACGACCTACCATTGGCGATATTGGAACGCAGTTGAAGGAATGCCTAGGCGACTCACTGTCTGGTCAAAGGATCAGTGGTCGAACCATTCACATCGTCGTCTTTGCCCTAAACGTTGGATCTTTCTTTCTGTACGCACTGGATGCCACTATGTTGCATTACGAACCTAATCGACAGGGTCTCGAAATATGTGCTACAGTCCATGTAGATCCCTTCCAAAGAGTGGATTTGATAATCAATCTGATCTTTCTGTGTTATTTTCTGGTACGATTCATTGTCTCAGATAATAGGCTACTGTTTTGGTTTGAACTCTATTCCCTAGTCGACGTTTTCACCATTCCACCAGCCCTGTTGTCCCTCTATCTTGGACGGAGTTGGCTGGGTCTGCGATTTGTAAGGTGTCTCAGTATCCTGAGCCTCACGGACGTCCTCCAGTACTTAAATATTATCAAATCAAGCACGGCTATTCGACTATCTCATCTGGTCACGTTTTTTGCGGCCTTCGTGATCTCAGCGTCAGGATTTATACACCTCGTCGAAAACTCCGGCGACCCACCGGATTTCCTGAATCAGCAGAATTTCACCTACTTCGAATGCCTCTACTTAACAATAGTTACCATGACAACCGTCGGCTACGGTGATTTCACGTGTCAAACGACAACTGGAAGGGCTTTCATGGTGGTGTTCATTCTAGGCGCGCTTGCTGTGTTTGCCAATGCTGTCCCGGAAATCGCCGACATCTTAGATTCTCGCACGAAATACGGCGGGACGTATGTAACGAGACTGGGCAAGCCTCATTTGATCCTCTGCGGCCACATTACATTCACGAGTGTGAAAAATTTTCTATCTGATTTTTTGCACAAAGACCGCGAGGACGTGGTCACTGAAATTGTTATTCTGGACCAGAAGGCGCCGAACTTGGAGATGGAAGGCCTACTCAAACGCTATGAAAATCAAGTCCACTATTTTCAGGTTAGTTGTGCTTTCAAACCCCTACTAAAAATTTTAACTGAGGACTTATTGTTATCACACAAAATGTCTGAAATTTGCTTATAACCAGCGTAACCCTGATCTATCGTGAGTTTGTCAAAAATTGCATAGAAAATTATATTACCATTCGCGTACTTGGCAACAAATGCCAACAAAACCAGAGTATTAAATATTCTAAAAAATTTCACAAGAATCTTTACAACCATATCATTTTAACTTAAACTTAAAATAAGGAGGCTGATCTGGAAATCAAATTAGTGGACAGTGCTGTGCTCCCGTTTTGTAAACTTCTTTTAAATTTTATAAAAATTGGTAAAATATATTTTTCAATCTGTATTGGTTAACCATTTATGATCGAATTCAACCAATCAGCTTCAAATATTGTGCGTCATGTTTTTCAAAAAAGCGGTTACGTTGTTCTAGTGAAGGCAAATCTAACGTTAATCTGCGCACATTTCGTTCTACATTTAGCCTTAATGCTGGTGCATTTCATTGCATGCTTTGCAAGACGTTCCAAGATAAATTGTTACGCGACTTGGATTTTGCCAATTTTTAAAATCGTATGAGTTAAAACCGTTTTCCACCGTATTTACATTATTGAGTTGGCAGAAAGTAAATTTATTTTATAACGACGAGTGACATTTCAAAAGTTCTCGACTGTATTTACACGTAATTTATAGTTCCTTTTGTGTACAAAAATTATGTTTAAGGCTTTAAAAAGTCTAAAAATCCACTTATTGGTTTTTAAGTCATTTAAATATTTGCTACATCCTAAATAAATGTTTCATATGGCTGGTAGATATCAAGCAATCGCTGACCATCTTTCGCTATCCTGGCAGATGATATATTCGCATTTCTTGATAATTCCTGAGGTCGTTAGAGGTAACATAGCCCTGATATATTTCGAGAAAAAAGGTCAGTAGATCCCAGAACAGATAAGAAATTATGGAGGCAGTTTTATGATATTCGCAGGAAAAACCGCAACGTACTTTTTTCTGAGTCTCTGTGTGTTTTTGGATCTTAATTTTGCTCTTTTTTAGCAATCTGTCGAAAAGTGGTAATATTTAAAGGCAACAAACTGATACAACCTTACTAAACCCACATACAATTGCTTGTAGGCAAATAATCCGAATTTTAAAAATAGAATGCGTTTTCTTGATATCTCGTTATTATGAGATAATCTGGTTTTACCTCTTAACGTACAAATTTACCCTAATTTACACAAAATTGATTATGTTTTTTTTTATTCGAATCATGTTAAGGCTGGATTTGTGAAAAGACAAGACGTTCACCGTTTTCGTTAATAGCATGCAAAAACGCTAACGCGTCAATAAATGTTTGGGGTCGAATTTCTACTTATTGTAGGCAAAGTTCACGGATAACCTCGGGGTTTTTTAAATATGGTTTAAGTGCAAATGTGTCACTACGATAATCTTGGTTTTTTAAATATGCCTTTCAAATCTACTTATGGTGGTCAATCGCACGCAGATTTACTTGCACTAAGTTTAAATTTAAAAAGCGATTGATTTTTATGTAGTAGTAGTAGTAGTAGTAGTAGTAGTAACTTGTACTGTCTTGCAACCATTAACTCCCAGAAAGAAAATAAGATCCAATAACAAACGACCATGAGTCACACACCAACTAGTCTGAGACTTACTCGTGTACATCGGCGATATTCAAACAAAGGCTTTCATCTTTGTAGTAAAATAGAAATCGATAATCAAATCGTGTCTCTCTTGAACATAAAACTGGCTACTCGGAGCATGTTTCGGTATTTGCGCGTTAGAACGACGTGCCTACTTCTGATTGGTTACTCGTGACGTATGTGGGATGATCATAATCACATAAGGATGTGTTACGGAGCGAAGAATCAGGGACACTCACAGCCCACAATGCACACACACACACAGGACGATGCGACCTTGAGCTCGAAAGGTCAATTAAATTCCTCGTTGGCAGTCACTCAGGTTGACGGTTTTTCGGAGGTCATAGGTCACGCGTTAACTGTGAGCTGTTAAGTTTAATTCTTCCTTGAATAAAATCTGTTCAGATTTTTCTGCTGTTTCAAAGAACAGGGACATTTATGGCGCCTTTGTGTAGGTTCGAACAAACAAAATACCAAGGTCATTTGGGTGTTCAGTGTTTTAGGTGACCTTCGTCACCAAAACGCACTCTAAGCGTGTTTGCTAGGACTAAGTGTTTTCAGGAATCTGAGCATACTATCCAATAGGACGCATTTGGGTTTGTAAACTAAGGCATTTTACTGAAAAAAGGAAACCGTTTTCCACAACCAAATGTTTAAGAGATTGAGTCACAGGTTTCATCGTTTTTACATAAATTGAGGAGCAAGTGGTAAGTTGTTCATACTCCGGATTTGGTAGTTGTTGAGAAAAGATAAAATTCTACAAACGTGAAAGCACCAATCATATTGTGTAGTCAGCCACTGTTTACAATTCTCGTTAAACACTCAGCCTATTTGTTGTTTAAACTCATTGCGTTCTGTCTGACCCAAAGCGCTGGCTGCTCACACCTATCCATTCGCTCCAATTTTTGTTTAATTTGGCATGAACAGATGCAACA